ATAATACCAAAAGAATGCAAGTTTATTGTAAAAAACGAAGGTAAGCATTAATAAAGGAATAAAAACAGCCCATAATATTATAGTTTAAAAATAGTGAAAATCATATTGTATAAATTCCAAATATTTTTAGAGTATCTAATTATAACTTTGATTTTTAACTATACCCGTTCTGTATATCACATGCTGCTAACAACCTTCTCACTTAAGAGTATGTCTTAGGAAACTACATAAGTGCATACGAGTATACTTTGTAACAAATGTGTTGGGTACATAATGCAATGTGAGGACACCCCATGATTCATCTTATCCATTGCCTATTGTTTCATAGATATTGTTTGCACAGTTTTTATTTACCTAATCTTGCATTACACAGCATTGGTCCTATATTTTTTCTATATCCTGAATTATTTGCTCAGGCAAAATTCCTAGAAACATAAATACAAAGAGGGAGCCACATTTTAAAAAATCAATAACAATATTTAAAAATGTGATATCTGTTATTGCAGAAAATTAACAAATAGGAATAATTTTTAAAAAGTGCTTAAACCATCATAGTAATTCTGCTATATGCACATAATCATGTCTGGGCTAATTTTTTCCCCAGATTTTTTCTATGTGTTTCTATTTAACTATCTGTAAATACATTTAATATGATGTATATGTATATGTATATATACTCACAGAAAAACATTTTTACAACAGGTTTACTACATCCTGTAAATATTTTCTTAATTAATATATGAATAAAAATAGGATGATTCTGTAGATGCTAGATTGCAACAGGTCATTGAAAAAATGTAGAGCATTTACTGTATTAAATAAAAAGGAATTAAAGTGATGAAATTGGTACTTAATACAAGAAGTCAGAGAATGATTAATTAAACATGGGAAAAGAAGCAAGGAATTAATAATGACACAGATTTTACTGAATTGGAAAACTAATTTAGAGTGTATACATGAAAAAGCTGAATCTTTGGGGGAAAGAAAAAGATCCAAACCAAAAAATGAGCTGAAGAATTGGAAGACTATAACCTTTTTAAATTCTCAGCTCTAATAAAGCATTTTAAAAATAAACACAAATATACAACTTTACTAAAAATGGCTGTAACCACAGATGCAGATGGAATTATAAAATTATAAGAGACTGCCATATACAACTACGTGCTAATACATTTGATAATTTTGGTGAAGCACATGATCTTCAAGGAAATTATAATGGACTAAAATTTATGAGGAAGAAAAAAAAACCTGAGTAGACCAATAACGTTGAAAATTTGAAAAACTCATCATAGAACTAACTCAAAAAAAAAAAAGAGCTAGACATAGTTTCCCAGGTGTTGTGTTTGAAATTCCCAAAGAACAGATGATTTCTCTGCTCTCTGAACTCCTACAGAGAATAGTAGAATACGTTAGCATCATCATTTCAGGAAACTAACACTGTCCTCATAGAGAAATTTGAAAAAGATAAAGAAAAAACCACAGACCAATATATGAATGAAAACACATGCATAATAGGTAGAATATTACTTGGACTGAAACGCTAGATTAATCGTTAATACATCATGACCAACTAAGTTTTATTCCATGATTTTAAAGAGGATCCTATATTATGAAAGCTATTCAACAGAGGCTGTCTACTCTAATAAGTGCTATTTCACATCGTTCTAGAAATAACCATGGTGCTAAGATCTTGAGAGATTCTAGAAACAACTGGGAACTTTATGTCATTGTCACAAAACACCGAGATCCCATGAGAAGAAGTAAAAATTATTAACTGGGCTCTCTGGGTTCAAACATCTCTGAATTGCAGGGGAGGAGGGGGCATGTATTTTAAGCTCACTTGATAACATCTGTGTTTGTCATATAGTCTGTGTTGTGATGACGAGGGGAAGGGACATTCACTGCACTTCATTGGGAGAAGATTTTTAGTTGTACTTCAGTAAGGTTTGGTCAAAGACAATATGAAAGGCAGATTTTGGTGCCTGTAATGGTGAAACAGCTGTTTTTGGACAAGCAGTGCTTCCAACAGATAACAATTATAAACTCTGGACAGAATATTTTTTGGAAAACAATTATTTAAAGACATTGGATAATGGCAAAAAGTAAGCAGAAACTGGAGTGGTAGGAACTCTTAAAATAAGTGAACCACACTCGGTGGCTGAGACCATTTTTAGATGGATTACCAAACTACTTAGAGGTAAAGGTTCCCAATTTTCCCAATTAACTAATGATTTAGAAAAGAGCAATATGTAGAAAATATACATACATATGATAATAGGTGGATAGAAAAAGGAGCAAATAGGACAAAATGTTCACTGTTGCTGAATAATTGTTATAAAGGGTATACAAGAAATCTTTGTACTATTTTTTGCAACTTTCTGTAAGTTTTGTGTGAAGTTGCACAACAGGCAAAACCAGACTGGAGCGATAGGAAGTAGAACTGGCGTTGCCTGTGGGGGATGAAGGCTGACTAGGAACAAGGAGGGGAGAATTTCTGGGGTGATGAAAACATCTGTATCTTGATTTGGGTGGAGGTTACATGAGTATGTGCAACTCATAAATCGGGGAATTAAGATCTCTGTGCGTTTCAACGAACGTGAATTTTATCTTAGTTTTAAAACATGCGCTGGAAACGTCACACATTTCGCATTCAGGAAATATAGCCACTAATGACAATAGGAACCCTCAAATCAGTACAGATTCTTAAGATGTTACCAGAAGTGCCTAGTCCCAAAATTTTTGGACCCCTATCAGGACTTCAAAGCAATTCTAATTCCTGATGGTGAGGGTGGTCCCCAGAGCAATAACAGGAAAGAAAAAGGCACAAGAATAGTAATTCGACATGATTCCTGGAAAACAAACAAAGCATCAATTGAAAAACTGCTAACAGTTGCAATTTAGAAAACCCGTTACAAAATGAAGTTTAAAAGAGCAATAACTTTCCTATAAAACATAAGCTATTAAAATATAAGGGGGAAATATTTTAATAATACCCAAAATATGAAAATTGAGCAATAAATACAAAGGAAACACACAGAATGCATTTTAAAAACCAACTAAAGCCATACTAAGATGAAAAAGAGAAGAAATGGGGAAACATACGTTTCTGGACAAAAAGACTCATTGCAAAAATACCGATTCTTTCTAAATTAACATAGAAAGTATCTTCCTAATCAACACTTCAATGCGATTTTTCTTGACACAAGTATTAGTTATAACAGTAAAGGGTACAAGGAACTGTTACCAGAATATACAGATGAATAGAACAAAAAAGAAATCCCAGCACCAATTCCAACTATATAGATTTGGATTTAGAATGTAACATGTTATTTCAAAAATTGGAGAAAAGATAGAGTTTATTCAATATATGTTTCTGGCACAACAGGATAACTGTTGGTGAAGAGCATAATTACCACAAAATAAATTTCAGATGTCTAGAGATAAAAGATGAAACTATATCTCACAGATGAGGCCATGGATGGCTTTTTTTTTTCCTTTCTTTTGGTTTGTCAGTATTTTCTTATATAAGGAACAATTTCTTGTATAATAAAAATGCAGAAAGTCACGTGCAGTCAGCATTTTGTGAAGCCACGCTCTTATTCTGTGCCTTGTGGGTGATACTAGCCTCCCACTTTGATGCTGGTGAGTTTTGGGGAGGCCGTCTTTTTGTCCCCCCTTTCACGTATTTTAGAAGGAGGGCAGGTCTCCCCTGCAGGGTCCCCTAAACAAAGGCAGCTGAGGCTGAAATTTGGCTCCTGCCCCGTGTGCTAAGCTGTGGTGAATGGCGTGGGCTTGCATCTGCCCACAGGGCACTGTTTCTGACTCAGGCTTGGCCCTGCGCTGGGGTGCTGGGTCCCCTGGCGATTTACCTGGTTACTGTTAAAATTCTCCTCTTGAGCCTTAAAGGTCTCAGCCTGGTAGTACAGACAGCATCGGGGATTCAGGCATCCAGCACTAAAGGTGTAACGAGGTGGAAGTCAAGAACAGTCCAGGTGGGGAATGCCACCTCTTCAGGTGTCCCCCTCTGGGTTTGTTAAACCCGATGGGCGTGAGGGTGATTTCCTCATCGGATTTTCCGGCCCGTCCTCCAAGGGCGTGGTTTGGTGCTTCTGCTTCCTGCCCCCCTAGGGTGGGAGAGTCCAGTTTCTGTGGAAAACCCTTCTCCCATTTTTGAGAAGCGGAGCCGGCTCGCAAGCCCTGCCCCTGACAGGCTTCCCCTTGCAGGGGCCAGCAATGACACTGGTCATGGGGCTGCTCCCCGCCTTTTCCCAGAAACACCCTCACATGTGTGTCTTCGTTCTGGTTTTGAGCTGCTGGTCAGATACTCCTCTAGTCCCTCTACTCTGCCTCGTTTCCTGGAAACAAAAAGATCCGAGTCAGTGTTTGACAGCTTCCTGCAGAGCCGTCCCACCTACACCCCACACAGCAAGTCCTCAGGGCACCCAGTGGGCACCCTCCCCCGTTTGCAGTGCCTCCGTAGGTTTTTCTCCATTTGAAGCTTCCTTGTGTTAATTCCCATCAGCGCCTTTCCTGGAAGGGTGGAGAAGAAAAAGGGATGGGTACAGAGAGGGTTCTTTTAAGAATAGTTTGCCTTCAGACAAGAGCTTCCACAGAGACCGGGGGAGAGGCTGGCCCTTTGGAGAGGACGTCTGGTGGCCACGAGGGTGGGACCTCTTGAGTGTCGGGGGTATCCACGTAAAGCACAGCACCAGCCCCATGTCAAGTCACTGTCACCAAGACATGTGCTGCTGGTACCCATCCTTGGAAACATGACTGAAACCAAACTGGAAGGGAGGGAGGGAGGGAGGGAGGGAGGAGAAAGAAACTCAAGTAGAGGAGCTTGACGGTGTCAGGAGGTTGTAGGTGTGAAAAAGAAACACCGAATTCCTACTGTAAGGTGTACGCGCTGACCCCACCGTCTGAGAGCATCGTCTTTCCCTGTTTATAGAAAACCACAATCACCAATCTCCAATATTGTGTTCATCCCAGATCCTGAGCTTCCTTGGGTCACCCGCAGCTGCAGCTCCACGGCTGTCACACGGAGGAGGACAGCAGACAAGGCGGTGCCCTGCAGCCTGGGGAAAGGACGCACAAGACAGGCCTGGAGGTAAGCGGGGAGGTCTGCGGGGAGTGCCGGGCTTACTGGGGGGCTCTTTGGGACAGATTGTGAAAGATGGTTCTGGAAAAGTGGGCGGAGGCCACAACATGAAGGATCCTGTGAACCTTGCCCTGTGCATGATGAGAAGTCAGAGAAAGGTCTTAAATAGAAGGTGACGGTGGTGACAGATGGAGGACTGGGCCTGCCTGAGGTTCCAGAAGTGGCTAACGACAGAGGCAAGACAGCAACTCAGCTCATGATCGTTTTATATTGGTGTGTGTGTGTGTGTGTGTGTGTGTGTGTGAGAGAGAGAGAGAGAGAGAGAGAGAGAGAGAGAAGGGGCAAGGTTAGCAGAGGTTGGAAACATTATGCTCATTAATTAATTCAGCAATCATTTTGCTGCTGGGTTGAGCAAATTCGAGAGGTGACATGAAAAGGGCAAAAGTGCTTGAAAATGTGGGAAAGCGAATCCATCTCTGGTGCGTTGGTTTCGATTACTCCTCAGTTATATCAACATCCAAGGAGATGACCTCATGTGTTCCACAGGCATGACCAAAGATTATGGCACAAACGATCAGAAATAAACAATGTTAGCGAGGCACAGCGCTCCGCAGCCCTGGGATGGCCCGAGAAGAGCTTGGCCTGTTTTTACATGAACCACAAGTTAAGGCGAGATCAGAAAGGAGATAGAAACCTTTCTCCATGTGCGCTGTCCCTGGGTTCATGTTGTGTAGACGGCCCGGGGAACCCTCTGACACCTCCCTCCACTCAGGAATTCGTGCAAGTAGCATTTCTCCTTTTGACAGCATTCTGCTGAAAACTGAATTTTCTGCCGTTTTCATTACTTTTTTCTTAATGTCCCACGGTTCTGCTTTTCACAGCCGCCTTTCCATTTTTATACCAGTTATAGCTACCCTATAAGTAACATCTTTGTCCAAAAGGCTGGAAACGGCACATTTTTTACCCTGAGACTGTATGGAAGACAAGGATTAAACCCTGTTTTTTGTTGTTGTTTTTTTCAAAATCTCCCACAGTGGTCAGCACATGGCACAGCACATAGTAGGTGCTTTAGTCTCAGCACTGTTGGACATCTCCCTGGAACAGGTTGTCCGAGGTGATGGCCGCAAAAATGGGTGGATTTATAGGATTTGCCAAGTGAGACCAGACCCTGGCCTGGACTAGTTTCATACCGAAATGCAGGTGGGAGGGAGCCCCACTTGTGACTAACAATAAACATCCTGTCATGTAGGTTGGTGAGGGCTCCAATCCAGCTTTAAATTATTTAGATCAACAATGACAACATTTTACCTGAGCGCAAACTCACGCCTGCCCCAGCTAGGAACCTCAGCTGCTGGTATAAGCTGAGAGGTGCACACGCTTCTCGTGGTTGAGACCTCAGTTACATGCAGAGCCTTATTCACCCTCAGATAACATTCTCCACAAGTTAATACAATCCACTTAATTCACAACAAGCTACAATTCCAAAATCTTTCACTCATATGTCATTACACTATGCAGTGGTTGGATTCTGGACTATTATACTTCCCCAAAACTGGCTCCAGGGAAAATATTTTTATTAGCTAGCAAAGAAGCCTGATTTTAGACGAAGGTATCTCCGCAGAATACTTTAATGTAACTATTTTTCAGTTGGGTGCATAATAGCCTATTCATTTATGTGGTAATAAAGCGTGTACAAAGGTGGTAAAAACAGAAGTGCAGAGTCTAGCCAGCTTACTGTTAAAATTAAGCAGATGTTACTCCGTTTCCATTAACATGGATATCACCGTAGTCAATTTAAGTTGTGGAAAGAATAATAAAATGTCCTTATAGTGAATCAGCAGCTTAGTATATTTATAAATTTTATCTTTATACTCCCCACATTCATAGGCAAGTCTATTTATTGTACAAACATGTGGCAACCCAAATCATCTAGATCATTGGCTTCAGAGACAAATCAGTTCAGTCCTTACGCTTGAAGAAGTCGTGAGATAATGAGTCGATATGGAGAAATGGCCATTTATAGGGGACCTGTCACCTCAGCCGCCCCCTCCCAGGTGCCTGATCAACCCTGTTACAAAGACGAAGGAGGTGGGTCCCAGAGATGTTAGAATATTTGCCCAAGGACACATTTACCAGGAGGAATCGAGATAAGGAAAAAAAAATCCGCTATTGAAAACATAAAACTTATCAAAAATTGAAGTACAGAAATGCCTGTACTCGTTAATAAGGGAGAAACTAAGACATTGGTTGAAAAGAATTACACTGTTGTCTGCACGGTTGCCCTTCCCTTCCCCAACTCGCACACTCCCAGCCCAGGCTTGCGGACTGGGTATTTTTCTGGGTATTTTTCTCTGTGAACCATTTTTAACACTTAACAGCGTTTCCATTTCCAGTCATGGCAGAGTGGATTCTGTTGACCGAACCTCCTGCAGATAACAAGTATAAACTTGGGACAAAATTTTAAAAAAAACAGCTTCTGGAGGGCGCTGGAGGAACATCAAACGGGGAAAGTGTAGGAGGTTGGATGCTTGGAAGAGCGGGGAGGGGGCTGGGCGTTTTCCATGTTTGCTTGACTTTGAAGAGAAAATGGCCTGCTGGGTGCAGTCGGCCACCCACTCAAAGCAGAGTGCGGGCTTTCTTTCCTTCAGGGTCTCTTTAGCGGCATTCAAAGCCATCTCTCTTTTTCTGTACCTGGCATGGAGGTGGGGACCAAACTGAGGAACAAGACCATGACCAAAAATTGTAAGAGCAGTGAAACGTCCGAGACCCCTGTTGTCAGTTATGGGAGGTCTCCACCACCAAAGTCAGGGGCCCGAGCGGAGACGTGGGACCCTGAGGTTTGGGATGAGGCTGTTGGCATGTGTGTCCATGAGGACCTTGGAACCCAGGTTCCTGGAAGTCTTTGGCTCTGAAAAAGTGTTTCACGACTCCCCATCCCTTGGTTGGAGACTGTGATGACGCCTTAGCTGATGCAGCCCCCTGTAAGACAGTGCTTACCTTCCTTGGGATTTTTCCACCTCCCCTGCTGGCTCCAGACCAGTAGCTAAAGTTTCCCAGCATAATTACATCCCCTGAGCTAGTAATGGGGGAGCTGAGAGGCGAACTCAGACCACCGAACTCCACGGCCCGTTTACTGTGCTGCCTGAGGTCACCTTCCTACCGAGCAGCAGTAGCCACCGAAAACTGTTTTCCCGCATTGCAGCCGCTGGCCAGCTGTAGGTATTCAAATTTACATTCATTAAAATGAAAATTTAAAATCCCATTCCCCAGTGACACGCACTCCGTTTCAAGTGCTCAGTAGCCGCGTGGGCTGGTGGCAGCCATATTGGTCAGTGAAATAGATAGGTCATTTTCACCATCACAGAATGTGCTACTTGATATATAACAGCAAAAATTAAATCACCCTCAGTTATATTAGCAACAGTATATAACGTACTTACCCAAAAAACTTAAACCCAGGGAGGAAAAAAAAAACAACAAAAAAAAACTTAAACCCAACTATCAAGCCCATATGAAGGAAAAAGGAAAAGCTTTATTAAGTGACATAAAAGAATAACGCAAGAGCCATACCATGGTTTGGGTGTAAGGATCAAATCATAATGAGGCCTATTGCCCCCAATGTGCTTTATACCTTTGACATAGTATATTCTCAGTAACAGCAGAGTAGGATTTTATTTTTCATTGCACTTTGACAGAACGATTCTAAAATTAACCTGGATTGGAGACAGTATTAACAGTGAAGAATGAATGGATACTTTTATGTCTAGGTACTAGTCCACTGTATTAGTTTCTCAGGGCTGCAGTAATAAATTACCACCATCGCTGAGGCTCGAAACAACAGATATTTATTCTCTCTCAGCTCTGGAGGATGGAAGTCTGAAGTCCGGCAGGGCTCCGCTCCCTCTGGGGGCTGCAGGACAGAGCCCATCCGTAACGCTCGCTCCCAGCACCCGCTGGCTGCCTCGGTCTTCTGGGCTTGGGCATATCACCCACCCTCTGTGTGGCTCTCCCATCTCCCTCACCTCCCTCTTGTAAGGACGCTTGTCGCTTGTCGTTGTGTTTATGACCCACTGGGATAATCCAGGCTGAGCTTCTGCACTCAACATTCTTAACTTAATCCCATCTTTTGACATATAAGGTAATATTTACTATCTTTTACTGATCAGGTGTAGCCCCAGGTTCCAGAGGTTAAGACAGGGACACACCTTTCTGGGTGTCACCCAGATTCAGCCCACTAAATGTACATTATAAAATATTGAGAGTTAACATAGTGTGGAAATGCCTCCCAAGCAGCTTCAAAACAGTTTTATAACGTATGTGATTACGTGTGTGTGTGTGTAATATACACACATAATATGTACATAGAGCCATGGAAAAGGGGATATTCTGTAATGTGGTAGACACAGTAATGGAATTAGTACTTTTACTATTTGTTGTGTTAATTTACTGTATTTTTTTAAAACAAACTTTGTTGCCCGTGTAATGATAAAATTTGATAAATATATGACTTTGAATTAATAACTCAGTGAACAGCCTTCTGCAGAAAACAAAATTCACGTCGTCACCCAGAGCCAGAGGTCAGATAGCAACACTTTCTTCATCTTGTCTCTATTCTGCTTCAGGCGCTTTGGATCACTTTGGTCCTCAAAGCCTTAACAAAGCAATTTTTGACAATTCCCAGTAGGGCAGAGGCAGATGTTTATATGACAATGTCAGAGATACCGGATAACACGCATACTGACCCTAAGAATGGTTGCAATGTGAAAGTGTGTTTTCCATGGGAAGAGTACAGCAGGAAACAAAAAACCGACCAGTTATATTAACGGAGGGGTGCCGTTATTTTGCAAAATTTCTTTGGGTTTTATTGATTCTTTGGGAGGCTCTCTAATGTATGCACCGGAAGTTCGAGTCCCATCTTTTACTCCTGCTTTCCCCTTGTTTACGCAGGAACAACTTCTGCGCACTCAGAATTGGCCACTGGGTTACTTAACCTCTCTGTTCATTTGGAACAGAGAAAAGTGCTTTCTTGTTCCCCAGGGCAGGCCTCTCCCACCCAGTTTTCCTAAGCTGGGAAAAGAAAATTATAAACACCTGGGATGCATAAAATCTCTTGACTTTGCAAAAGAAACCAAAAAACTTATTATTTTTCCAAGCAAAAAAATTATTTTTGCCTGTTTCTCTTTGCCCAGCTCTGTCACATTGGAGCACGGAACCAGTGTACAAGGGCCTTAGCAGAGGTTTGGCTCTAATTATAATGAACCGTGGTCGGTTTCCAGCAGGTTCTGAACCTCCCTGTGTATCAGACATTGAGAGGAGCCAGTGGGTTTCCTCCAAAACCCTTTAAAAATATTCATATAAAAGGGTAGTTTGTGCATAGCCTTGTACCTTACTTGATTTGGATAATATCTATTTAAACATAATATCATGCTAAGCCTCGTTAATATGTATGCCTTGTTTTTGTAAAGAGTTGTATTTTTAAATAGAAGAAGAACAGTGGGCGGGAAAGCTCTGTCTGATGAATGTGGCCGCTGGGACTCTTTACGAGGGACTCTCTCTCTAATAAGAGCTGTGTGCTCTCCTCTTTTCACACTCCCGGTCTCGATGCCCTGCCTACCCTTCTCTCCCAGGCCGTCTTCATACGAAAGTTTAAGTCATAGATAATGTTAGATCTGAACAGATGAATCGATAAAGATAATGTGTCAGTTACATTCGATGGAATACTGCTCAACCCTAAAAAAGAAGGACTTCCTGGTATTTACGACAACATAGGTGAAGGGCATTACACTCACTGAAATGAGCCAGACCCAGAAGGACAAATACTGCGTGACCTCACGTACCTGTGGCATCTAAAAAAGTCAAACTCATATGTAGAAACAGAAAGCAGAAGGTGGTTACTGGGGCTGGGAGGATGGGGAGGTGTTGGTCCAAGGGTACAAACCTCCAGTGATGCGATGAGTAAGCTCCGGAGACCCACCGAGCAGCAAGGCAACTGTCGTGAACAGCACTGGACTGTGATCTCGAAGTTTGCTAAGCGAGTAGATATTAAGTGTCCTCACCACGCTCGCACGAGGAAGGTGCCTGTGAGGTGATGCGCGCGTGAAGGAACTTACTGTGGGGATCGGCTCACAGTGTGCCTAATCAGAGCATCATGTTGCCCGCCTGAACTATCCACCATTTTTATTTGTGCATCATACCTTCCAGGGGGGCAGTGGGCATGGAATTTATGGAAAGAAAACAAAAGGAGAGCTCCTAAATGGAGCCATCCGAGGGAAGGTCATCACCTGATGTTTGGTTGTTATTGTCGTGACCCAGGAAAGCCCGGCCTGGGCTCAGCGGACACCTTCTAATCACTCCCTGGTCACACGGATGAGACGAGGACCCTACAGAATGGTGAGTGGAAGGCTACCGAAACGCTAAAAATCCTGCCAGACTGTAGGCGTGTTTCTGTCTCTATCAGCTTTCGACTCACGTCAGCTTTTGGGGTTTGATTTTTTTTTAAGGTTTTTATTGGGGAATTGGGGGATGTTAACAGCCCTGGGGAATCGGGGGAAGGGGAGCAGACAAGCTGCTGTCCTTTTGTTCTTCAGTCTAGTTGTGGAGGACGTCGCTTCACTGGCCCATGTTGGTATTATCATTGCGCTCTTCCCGGGCGAGGCAGATCGGTCACCAGCCACTGGACGGCCATTCACGGTGGCTCACAGCAGCTCACGCTGGCTGCCGGCCGCTCACTGTAGCTCATGGCAGCCCACTGCAGCCTACGCCGCTGCCAGCGACTCACGGCAGCCCAGGTTCAGGTCAAGCTGTTGTTCACCATCTTAGCTGTAGAGGACACAGCGTTACTAGCCCTCATGTGGGATCCGAACCGGGCCCTGCTGCTCAGAGCTGGCGTCCCAAGCCAACTCTTAACCAATGCGTCGCTCGGCCGGCCCTAGGGTCTGATTTTTCTTATCTGAAAAACGGAGAGGCAGATTGTTGTTCCCCCGTCCTGTGTGGGTTTTCCCGGGAATGAGAGGCTCCTGAGTGGGCTCTGTGTGCAGAATGAGATGTCCATGTTAAATGCACAGGGAGGTGCTCCCCTTGACAGGTAAGCAGCACGACCCCTCTGTTGCTCCACAGTCAGTGTGAACCTGTGGGTTTCTGGGTGCACATGTGGCCATTTAGTAAGACAAGCGATGGAATAAAAGCATTTTAAACCAAGGGAAGCCTTTAAGGGCTCGTATAAATTCCTTCACCGTAACGTAAGTCACTGCAGCCCAGAGGGAAGGTGCCACTCGCTGGTGGCCAATGCTTGGACGCAGGCTAAAGCACCAAAAAATCACTTAGCATTATTTTGCCAAATTATTAAACCCAGTGCCCTGCAACCATCCCCTGTCCCCTGCCATCCCCGCATTGGTCCCGACCCCTGTCCCTCTAGGGCAGCGGTTCTCAACCTTCCTAATGCCGCGACCCCTTAATACAGTTCCTCATGTTGTGGTGACCCCCAACCATAAAATTATTTTCGTTGCTACTCTATAACTGTAATTTTGCTACTGTTATGAATCATAATGTAAATATCTTTTTGTTTTCCTATGGTCTTAGGCGACCCCTGTGAAAGGGTCGTTCGACCCCCAAAGGGGTCGCGACCCACAGGTTGAGAACCGCTGCTGTAGGGGCTCAGCTTCTGCATTGCTCTGACTTTTCGTGTCAAATTTCTAAACAACCTTGTTTAAGGAATCGGCCTTAGCCTTTGGTGAACGGGTGATTTCTAGCAAGTTTATTTTTGGCAATTTGACTTTGAGCCTTTGAGTTCCTTTTTGTGCTTAAAATAGATACTTTTAATAAAATACAAGCAGTACAAAAATTGTGCAGCAGCCATCAGGAAGCTAGCATTTAAGGTAAAAATTGTGTTTCATTTGGGAGAAAGGGCAACCGTGTGAGAAAGACTCGCCATCATTTTTCAGCCCCTTTCGTACGAGGCTTTTCTCCCACAGGCAAAGAAGTCGCACCAGTTGTGCAAAAAAAAAAAAAAATCTGCCTTTACTATCTGTGTCTTTTTCAACTTCAGACATGCTTTTCACATCCATAGTGACTTTATGGAGCCTAATAACCAATTAATGGCTTTAAAACCAGTGGGGATCCTGTTCTCCCCCACAACCTGAGATACATTATTGATAGATGCTTTCAGCCCTAGGTCTTGTTGGATGTTTAAAGTTCAGTGTCAGCCTTCACATTCTCTCACTCAGTCTCTACTGAGGTCAAGCTTTGGGAAGTGATGCTGTCCCCAAAGAGGTGAAAACCAGAGACAGCGCCCAGCAAGGTGTGGAGCCAGGCATCATTTTTTTTTTTAGCCCACGTCTCTGCACAAGGTGGGCGACCTCAGCGTCTTCGTGGGGCCGGCCACTTCCCTCCAGGCAGGTGGGACCTGCACATGTGGAAGAGACGTGATGTGCATAAGGACTGTTACAACGTCTCACCGTGTGCGCGTCTTCTTCCATTTGAGTCTTGGAACGATCCTGTGAAGGCAGGTGGCATTGTTGACAGCCAGTATGGAGAAAAGAAGGCCCTGAAACCCAGCGCTCCAATGCGGGCTCCAATCCTCGTCTTCCCCTTCGCCTCCCCGCTTCCTGTAACAGGGATGCAGTTTTGGTAGCTCTGCTCCACCGTAAGACAGCTCTGAAAAGGCAACCTCTTAATGACTCGGATTTGAATACCACTCTGCTGTACTAATCGGAATTAGACCTTTCTTAGCAAAAGAACTGGTACACTATTAAAGTGTTCCTTTTAAATGTTTTAAACCGGCTGATACCGCAAGAATAATAACACAGTAAAAGATAATGGGTAAATATGTGATAATAACCCTTAGAAAATAATAACCTGTAGAAGACTCCCAAATAAAATAATAACTCTTAGAGAAAATACAAATAAAAAGCACTTAGGATCATGAAAATATTTTATATACACAGTTTAAAACTTTGAAAATTCTCTTATTAAAGCAATCTCTTAAAAAGGAACAAAAATTAATCATTGCTAACTACCTATATGTGTATATGCTTTCTACACGTACAGAGGGTGCCAAAAAAAATGTATATGCATTTTAAGAAAGGAAAAAACTGTATTAAAATTGCAATACTCAATATATGCCAATAACAAAAGATGAATACAAGTCACGTTCGACTTCTGCAATTACAAGATGTGCTCAAAGCGGTTCCCATCAGCATAATTTGAATAGTTTTTGCCTTTCTTAAAATGTGTATACATTGTTTTGGCACCCTCTGCATGGTGTTAGAGTGTTTTATTTTGCTTTTTAAGATTAATTACACCCATGATATATTTTCTGGGAGGCCACATAGTATTTATCATTATTGTTTTAATGAGTAAATCTTAATCCATTTAGATCATTTCCCAAAATTACCTATTTCCTTACTGTTGACCTCTTAGGCCCTTGCCAGCGTTTCTGTGTAATAAGTAATGCAACCGAGAATCTGTTCACAGATATCAAATCTTCATTTATTTGAACTATTTCTCTTGATACCGAACAGGAGTGATATTACAGAATCAAAAATTAGGGCTACTTTTCTGTTTTGCTATGTATTTCTATACCGATCTCTAAAATTCCAGTGGATGGTGGCACCAGCCACTTCTGTGTATCAGAGTGCCGAGTCAGTGTCACCAGCATGTGTTATCAGGCTTGTGTTTTGCAAATACACATACTACCCAGTATGTGGGTCTTTAACCCATACCAGGTGTGAAAGCACCCCTCCACCTGGGCTCTGATTGACGTCCTTGCCCCACCTTCCCAGGAAGCTCTTATCTTTCCCCATCCACATCCAAACACAATGGAAATGGAGTTTCTCCCCTCTTTAAAAAAAAAAAAAAAAAAAAACAAGCTACGCCTACCCCAGGTCACACTTCCTTCTGCCATCACTGTCCTTACTACCTTTGTCCTTTCACAGACAAATTGTCCACCGCCTTATCTCCCAGTCACTCCTCCGTCCACTCAGAGGCATTTGTCTTCCTCTGTACCCTGGGGATGAAGGGAGAGTGGGAACTTGTTCCTGTAGAGATCACTGTTCCCCTCTATTTTATTATCTGGTCTGTAATTTTTTGATCTTCCTCTTAGCACACGTGGCACCAGCGCTTGGCTTAGCCATTTCCTCCCTCTTGAAACGCCCACCCCCCAGGCTCCTGAGCCGCAGGCTCTCCTGGTGCCGCTGTCCGTCCTGGCTGGTCCTTCTCAACTTGGCCAGTCGCTCCTCGTAACCTCGCTTTGCACTCCTATGGACCCTGTGGGCTGGTGCCATCACGTCCATTGTATAGAAGGGACGCCTAGGACCCAGAGGCGGGAGGGAGCTGATTGATGCTGGGTCACAGTTAGTAGAATTACATATCTTGATCTGGTCTGACTCTAGAGCTTCTATCCTCCATCCCCCTAAAGCCCAGCTTGCCGGCCTCGCCCAGAGGGGCCATAGTGACCAGGAGATCTTGGCTGTGTCGCACTTTTGTGTTACTATCTGCAGGTCATCTCTTCTCTTTGGGGTCTAATTGCAGATCAGGCTTTATCACTTACTAGTTGCACCGCTTCCTAGCTGTGGTACCAGAAGCAAATTGTTTAGACTCTCTCAACCTCAGTCTCTTCGCCTATGAAATGGAGATAATTAGAGGCCCCACATCATAGAATTGTCATGAAGACTAAAGGCTGTAATACATGCCAGGCATTTAGCGGAGCATTTCGTATGTAAGTCGTTAGTTCTCAGTAAAAGCAGTTGTTATAGTGACGGAGCTGACAGAGAAGGGGTGCCAAGGGCAGGGTTTGGACTCGGTGATCTCCAGACCCTTCTTCGCTAAGATGGGATAGTTTCCCAGGGAATGGCCATTTCTGAAAGGTGGTTCCTGACTGTCCAGGTTCTGTGGGCCGAAAGACGGCTTTCATTTTGGATTTAAATTTAGATTCCGCCCTTCCATGACCTGGCTCTCATGAGAGGACTTGGTGCTACTTGGAGGCAGAGCCATACCTGAGACTCACAGTCCTGAGCTGAGGCCACAGTCGGTTTTGTGACACTTACCAAGGGAATCAAGAAACTCAGGCAGGCAGGCAGCTTCTCGGACTCTGCCTGCCACAGGTCAAAGTTCAGAGGCCCGGCTCCCTTGTCCTCTGCGTGTGTCGTCACGCCACCCACACTGCTTCCTGGGCATGTGTCCTTCCGAGGCGAAGGCCCCTGAACTCGCCATGGTGGGCACTAAGGGGGCACCTCACAGGCAAGGGTTAAGGTGGAGGGCATCTCGTCTTGGCCACCACGAGGGCCCAGCAGCCCGGTGGCACTGCTCCTCTCCAACTGGGTCAGTGTCTGCGACAGGGTGTAATTAAAGGATCCGCTAGCCGCATAGGTAGGAAACCTGCAGAGACTCCAGGC